GACAAGGCTGGCGGAAAAAAGAACATAATGTATGCCCTTAGTAAAATGAAATTTTTTTGTGTAATACAATATAATGCATATTTCATGCATGTCACACATCCTACAGGGCAAGCAGTTACTGAAAGATCAAATTGAACTCTAAAGGATATGGTCAATAGACAGAAAGGGATGACAAAGATCCCCAGAAATAGACTGAATAGTGCTTTATTAACTTTGAATTTCCTGAATACTAATGAGAAAGAAACAACAGCTGTGGAGAGACATTGGAAAACAGGGGGAAATATTACAGAATTAAATCAGCTTGTTTACAGATGTCTTGACCTCAAATGGAAATAAGAACATGTGTTATCTGGGGGAGGGGTTTTGCTTTTGTTTCCACGGGAGAAGAAAAACTATGGATACCATCAAAATTAATAAAGTTCAATATGAACAAGAGAGACCTCTTGTTTAAAAGAGCTGATAGTTTATCAAACAGAAATCCAATCTAAACTAACTTATAAAACTAACAAATGCTTTGAATTTGATCAGAAATAACTTATCATGAGGGAACCTTCCAAAAATTATGGTTGGGAAAGGTTTTGTTTTTGTCTTTTCAGGAGAATTAAGGCATCCACCTAAGGAAACTGAAGACCACTTGAAAAACAAAACATGTTAAATAAAAAGACAAAGACAAATCATCAAGAAAAAATGTCTCAAAGAAAAGAGTAAATTTGTCTGTTAGTATATCACATCTCCAACAGGATAAAATTTCGTAAATTTTCCCAAAGGCTTGTTCTGCTATTCTCTACAGATATATAATGCAAATGGTATTTTTGTAGTTCCAGTCCAATTAAAGATTTAAGCTGTCTTTGGAGTTGGAGTGTGGCTCTCTCCTTTTCTAAACCCACACATACTTGTTAAATAAAATAAAATCCTAAATCTCTGTCTCATGTCAGAAAGTGACCTGATATAGGACAACAGAAAAAACAAAAATTAAAGGACTATTGTATTGCCACTACTCTCATAATTCTCTAGTTTTATTTTGACCCTTCCAAGCTCTTCTTATGGTATTAATATTATCTCAAATGTTTTGAGTTTAGCTTATATATATATATATATATATATATATATATATATATATATATTAAACTTTTTGTCATGATATCAATGGTCATATAGAGTACTAACATACTCTAGAAAAGGCTTCATCTAGCTTCCGTTACATGGCTTAAAATTTGAGTCTCTATCAGGTAACTAGGAATGAAGTTTTTGTACTCTAGATATACATAACAAATATTGATCCTTTAACCTCTTTGAGATCTGCTGCATATGGCATTTAAAATGTTTAATTTTTCTGTACTGAACCATGACAATGCCTAACAGAGACCTTTAAAGTCTCCAGAAGGAGAAAATGAGAATTTAACCAGGACTATGACAACACCACTAGGCTGAAAAATACCACCTAATGATTGGCTTTGAATTACAGACTGTTCAGAACAATTTCAAGGTGGCTAGCTGAGATGATCCAGTCTCACAGACTACTCTACCTATACTTTCCCATCATGCAGAGAGTGGATAACAAACGATACAGCTACCTCTCCCAGGACTTGATAATTAACCCAAATTTTTCTCTCCAGGATCCCCTAAAGATACCATTGCCCCCAGACAGCAGGAATTAAATTTGGGAATACAGCACCCACATTCCCAAGAAGTGGGGTGTCTGATTTTTTGGTTGTTTAATGGGTTATGGATATTTGTCTTCATTTAGGATGGTTGTTTACAAGTTGTTATTGGTAATGTTATTGGAAAAGGGTAAATAAAGGATATGAGTTTCAGAATTCTTATTTTGAAAAGAAGGGATATAGATGTAGAATAAAAGGGTAAATTATTGAATATATTTTTAAACCAAAAAAGTAACTACTAGTCTTAAAAATTTTAGATTGATCTGGATTTTTGTATATTGATACAAATTTAAGATTCTTTGGTTAGAACATACTTTACTTATGTTTCTAATCTTGTTCAAGGTATTGAACATATACAGCTCATTTAACAATGCAATGTAAATGTTTAACCCTTTAAAGTTATTGTTACCAACTATTGATGATAAGGAAATGCAGTTTAGCACTTAGCCACCTATTACAATCAAACTTGTAGTCATATTAGGTCTGCTTCCAAGGTCAAACAGAGATATTTTAAATAGATAGTTTATCTTCAAACGCTTCAGTGATCTACAGAATATGACATGTCTACTCCTGGCAGCACCAATCTGCTTCAGAGAAGAGAGCCTGTTCATACTTTATAAGTCACTGTCCTTATTTGTTAAAATCCTAAGCATCATTTTTATTTTTAAAAGTTACCTGTATTTATTCATTTATTTATGTATGTGTGAATGTGTATGCTCACGTGTGTGTGTGTGTGTGTGTGTGTTTTAGATTTGTCTATTGAAGAAACTCCACATGGAGTTTACTTTCTTTGTGGCAATTGTAAGCCACTGGACAAGAATGTGCTCTTGCCTCAACTGCTGACAGCATGCTGTCCAGTTTGGACAAGCAGGACACAAAAGAAAGGATTGCCAAACTTTGTCAAGACAAGGTAGGACAGCCCTCCAGAATTCCCTGCTTCACGGAGAAGTCTGTCAGATATGCTAGGGCTGTAGGCTGAAGATTGATGCCCCAATATTGCAGAGTGACTTAGGTGACTATCCAGACAGCCAGCAGTTTCTGTCATTTCTCACATGTGTTGGAAGTCACTTGCTTGCACTTCCTGCTTACTCAGTTCATATTATTTCCTGCTTGGGTCTCTGGTGGAGTGAGGACTTTATAATTATAGTGATAGTTTCCCTTGTTACCTGACTATAAAAGAGATTGACTAAAGAGGTGTAAAATGTTAAAGTTGAGAGACATTAAAAGATAGTTTTTAAAGCAAAGTAGGATAGAAAGTTAATGAGGCACAACCTTTGGGTTCGCCAAGATCTGATAGGCAACGAATATTTCCCTGAATTTCTCAAATGCAAATGGATTAGACATTGTTGATATATTTATTACCTGTATATATTGTATTTAGTTATTGTACTGATTATGTAATTTTTTCTTATATTAGTTATAACCTTTTTATTTTAGACAAAACAGGAGAACTGTGATATTTTGTTTGTGTGCTAGCTAATTAACTAATAAAGCTTGCCTAGGGATAAGAGTGCAGAGCTAGCCACTAGTTAACCTCAGAGGCCAAGCAGTGGTGGCTTATACCTTTCATCCCAGCATCTGGGACTAGGAAACAGGGAATGACAGGGCTAGGTGGAGAGAGGTGGAGAGGCAGGGAAGAGGTAGGGGTTGGCTCTCCTTTTAGCTGACAAGTTAGCAAGGTAAGGTGTGGCCGTGGCTTGCTCCTTTGTCTCTCTGCTCTTTCGGTATTTACCCTGATATCTGAGTATTTATCATTAAGACCAATTAGAACTTGTGCTACAGGCAATGTGGAGAGAGACTATGTATTGCATTTAAGGAGGAGAGTATTTAAGGAGGATATTATCAGTCAATGAACGAGCGAGAGAGAGAGAGAGAGAGAGGGAATAGGGGGAGGGACAGGGGAGGACAGAGAGAAAGAGAGAAAGAAAGAGTGAAGGATGGGAGGTGGGCAGGGCCCTTTTAAAGGGGAACACAATGAGTGGGCACAGATGGTCCTCTTAGTGATTGCTCCTGAGGCGTATCCTGTCAGAACCTCCAAGGACAGGCCACTACAGATGCCCAAGTCCTAACAATAAGAATAAGAATTATTCTCTCATTCACAATTTATCTGAGTACAGCATATGTAAAAATGCTAGAACAATAGCTACCAATTGAGTTCCCAGGTGTGTGAAATCACACACCCTCTTTTGACTGGCAGCCGCCATGTTGTACAGCACTAAGGAATGGCACCTTCACAGCTTGTGATGTAATGCATCCCTAACGTCCATCTTCTGTCTTCTTCCAGTCTTTGTGTTACCAAAGACAGGAAAAATGCCTACTGGTTGTCAGCACAGAGTAAGCTGGCTGTTAGTTTACAACACTAAGAGTCTCTGTCTAAGCCCATGCCACTCATGTGGTGGCCATAGAGACCGTTTTCCTGCCTGTGAGCTCTAACTTCATGAAGTGTCCTGTCTCATGGAGTTAATTCACTGATTTGTGAGAGGAGGTAGTGAGGGTAGGCTACATCTGTCTTCAAAACAATCATTGTATTCAAGGTACAGCTATTGGATTTGAGGAGTGGAGGGCAGTCATAACCTCAATTTAGCATATGGACATTGAAATCACATCAGTGACCCTCTTCCCATTTTGATAATGGAGCTCAGGCTGTTCACAAGAAAATTCCACATATAGAGATGATCACAAACACAGTGCTCTGGAGACTGTCAAAGGTAATCACAGTTAATTTTACTACATTGCTGAATCTTCATCTCTAAGGTTAACTAACACTCAACCAAAACAAAAAACACCAAAAATAATGGACAAGCCATGTGTCAGAACACCTGGGTCCACCGATCCCATGGGGAATAAATTACAAACCACAATCAAAAGAGCTAGCTAGCATAATGTATGGTACATAGATGATGTTCAGAAAAAGGAAGTGGGTTTCTTTCTCTTTCTAGAATTTTCTCAAGGCAATTTCTGACTATCAAGAAGAGTGTGTAAACAATAACTCCACGTAAAATTAAAATGACCAGTCTTTAATAAAGTAAGTGTAGATATGTTTTTACATTTCAAAAGTAAGAGGTTTCATGTGACTCTCACTGCTCACAATAATTGAGTAAGAGGCAAGCCTGAGCGGACAGGGCAAACATCACAGAACACTCACGGGGGCTGCTACGGCCCCGTACGATACCATTCTCAGCGTCTCTCAGCATCACGTGATGGTGTGATGCCAACAGATTCTGAAGCAGCATAATGAAAACTACTAAAGTGAGATCAAAGACAATTTACTAATATCATATGGATTACAACCCAAGTATTGTAAATGATAAGCATGTCAGGGTAATTAATTATACTCACTTGTTTCCAATGTGCAACCTTCCCTTTTATATTAGATTCAGGCTTGCAAAGGAAGATATCCTCCAAGAATTTGTCTTCATGTCTTCCACCTATGCAGATCCATTTTGTTTCAAGTACCCTAATTATTTTCTCCTGAGGCCTTTTACGTGTAAAATAGGGGCTGAGTATAAGGGAGGAGAAAACAACTATTAATTTTTTTTCCTAATCAAAACTACTTACGATTTAACTGTATCTTAGCATTCACGATGATGAGTCTAGTGCATTATTTGTTTTTACCTCATTGCTATTCAAGAACCAAGAGCATGCTACCACACTCACACATTCCATTCTTGATGAGTAAGCTGAGGAACGAATGTGCAACCACCTAAACAGAGCCCAACATTCTACCCACTCTGTGCTCTAAGTGACAGAGGAGGGACTGGCAGGACCAGGCTGGCACTGGGAAGGACGTGACCGGCAGCAAGTCTAGGGAAGTGGCTTGCGTGGCAGCATAGGATTTTCTGAGCCTAAGAGTTGCTATCTGTCCCCTTTGTGAATACAGAAGTGTGTACAGCAGTGATACCCTCAGAACATAAGCCACAAAGGAACTGTGACATTACTGCTGGCCACACTAACAGGCAGGCATAGAGGTAAATCGCATTTTCAAAATCTTGTTATGTATTTAAGAGATAATGTCTCACGGATGCTATCTATGAACTAACATCACACTTGATGGTAAGGTACTGGATATTTCCTCCTCTGAAAGCAGAAGCAATTGAAGATATATCCTCTCTCATCTAGCTAATCCACCCTGTGAGAGCATTTACAATTAAAAGGAAAGGTAGGGCCAGCCCCGCCTCTGATTGCAGAGGAAAGCAGTCAGTTCTAGTGTAAAGACCCCAAAAATGCCAACAGAGTGGGAACACAATAACGGTGTTTACATCTCTTGTCACAGAAACACAGGCCTGGAGGAAAAGTTCATTATGGTATGAATGGACAAGTGACATGGATTGGACAAAATGAAGCAGGCACCATTTATGTAACAACCTTCAAAGGCATATCAAAAGGAAGTAAGCCAATCTCATGAAATACCCATTCTATGTGACTAAAACGATCATTTGTTGAAACGATAAGCCAAGTAGGAAATGTATCCTTAGTAGTACCAAAACAAAGCTGTCCAAATAGCACAGCATTCCTACATCATAAACTGGCTCTATTTATTCACCAATTCTCGATGTTTTTAAAAGTCTACCAATCAGGTAATATAGGGTATGGTAAGACAATAAACTCTTAACAGTTCAGAGCCGTCATATTCCTCTCCAGAGACCTGCTCTGCTTTGCAAAGCTGGTCTGTCTCACTCCACAAGAATGGAAAGTGAGAGCCTGGGGAAGGAAGAACATGAAAGCAAGCAGAACACAGTAACCATGTGAACGTGCTAAGCAGCCGTACCCTGCCCCCCAGTGATGCAGCTAGATGAACATGTTTATCAACAAGACAAACCTTTGATGTAATCTTTCATTATCAGCCAGTTGTCAAAGGTAAATAAAAGCGTAAATTTTCATCAAAAGGTATTATTTCACATATGCCCCAAAGATTCATATCCATGAAGCCTAAGTTATCTAAGTAGAGATAGGTTATACAAAAATAAACCATTATCTATATTAACATGGCTAAGGACATAAAGAGAAGTTGAGGAAAGCATTTTTCCAGAGAAATTGTTTAAGGGCAAGAGACCAGTTAGGCAACACCATCCTTGACCTGTTCTGAGCAATAAAGCAAGCTACAGAGCATGAAAACCATTCTAGACCCCTGAAAAGAAGTCTGGGTAGGTGACTTTTGGAGTAGAGATATGAAACATTGTGAGAGAAACCCCACAATTAGTAAAAATTAAAAGGTACAGACCTCTGAGAATTCTCAAAGGGTGTAGGGCCAAAGAATAAGCATTTACTCAAGAAAGCCCAAGTGTCCAATGTAAGAGCAGACACTACTCAAGCCATCACCTGCATACTCTACCCAACCCATGAGAAGCAAGTCTAGTTGAGGTGGTGGAATCTCCCTACACTGTCTTCCTCTGCAACCAGGATTCACATCATGGCACAGCTTCCCTCAAGACAAGAAGGGCACTGGCCTCATGGCCAAGGCACTGGCCGGGGAGAAGGGCAGTAACCCTTCAATCTCTTCCTGCTCTTGGGAAAGCTCCAGCTGTGTGCATCAAGTTCAGAACACTGGAGTGCTGATGGTCCCTCTCCAGGGGCACATAGACAAGCAATGTCGCAACAGCTTGGCGCCTGCTTTAGGAAGAAATTTGTCCTTTCCTGTCACCTCCCTGCTCTAAGCATGGGCATAAAGTTTTCCCCAGGAATGAAGTCAGAGCATGAGCACATGAAGTCATAAAGCTGCGTTGACTTCCAAAGTAAAGTAAGTTGATCAGAGAGACTACAGCCTACAGCTGCTATAGAAAAATGGAAGGCTGTGGTACTGAGCCATTAGCAATAGTCTGGGCACTGTATTAAAGTAACATGCTTCATGGTTCAAGGGAAATGTGTGGTAGCTGAAAGAGTCTAGAAGACACGTTCAGTAAAGAATAAATCCTGCGTGTAGGGAAGCACCATAACCTGTTATGGTGGGTGCATTATTTAAAATGTTCTGACGAAGAAGTAAGGATGTGAACTATGCTAAAAGGAACTTACCACGGAGCCAGCTCTGGGAAGAGTCAGTGGCCTTTCTAGGGGAACAGTGTCTGTATATATGAGGAAAGTATGTTTTAAACAGAGATTTCTGTAAGGTGGGATGTAAAAAAAAAAATAAGATTCCGTTATCAGAAAATACAATACCAATTAATACATGTTGCTAGAGTGGATCAAGAAGAGATCTGCATTGAAATGAGTATTGTGATAAACCCCCAAAAGGACTACGGTGAAAGGAGCATGTGTGAGGCCACACGCGGCGAAGGTCACAGCATCTCCAGGAAAAGTGGCTAACAGTGTGCGTTGTTATTACCTTTAAGGCAAGTCTTTAATGAGAAAATCTTAAATCAGTGTGACTTGTAGTCCCTATTGCTTGTAATATTGCCACTTAAATCTGCCATGTCATTTAAAAACTACTCCTATGTCACTTATGTGTAACAAGATGAATGTACAGGACAGTGTCTGCTAGTAAATTAAGGTTTGGCTTCAATTATAATTGAATGGAATCAATTACTACATATTCTGTATCCCTGATGGTGCCTTTCAACTGGTAAGTTATTTTGTTTTCTTTTCATCCAACCAATGGGACATTAAACTTGATGGCTCAATAATATTCTGCACCTTTCCAAACCCATAGAGTATTGCCAATAGTTTCTCACTTTCTGGGACACTTACTTTTAATTTCTAAGTTACCATATCTAAACCAGAACAAAGGTTTGTAGTTATGCTTAGCATGAATGCCTCATAACAATTTTTTAAGATTACAGTTGATGTAAAGTAAATAAATACCTTTCTTCCAATATACAAATCATAGAGAAAAAGATTTTTTGTGGTTTAAAGTAACCCAAAACACACAACAAAAAACAGCAACAACCATAACACATCACAGAGATTGCAATCATGAGAGAAGCCTTTTCCTTCATCTTCAATTTAGCATTCACATCAAAGGTCAGCAATTATGTTTTCTACAAATCAAGCAGGTAAACATTTTGAGCTTTTTACAATGTAGGTTGTTTGCATGTTTTTCATATTTATGACAGTTTAAACTCTAAAACCATGCCTCCTCAAATGCAGGCCATGCCAGTTCTTGCTGTGCCTTCAGCCAGTCCGGTGTGATCAGATCCTGGCTGATCCATGCAGACACATATGGACACATGCATATACACCTCTCCATTGTGCCTTAGAGACTCAGGGAAAACAGCACAAACACATGTGTACACAGAAACATAAATCAGATTTAGCCATTAAAATACATTCTTGAGAAAATAAAGTTTAAGTTTATTAAGGTGATGCTTTAATATAGATATAGGCACATCAGCCTGGTAAGGAGGCATAAAATACGAAGATGATAGTCCACATATTAGAGTGGACAGGGCACCTCAGGTGAGATGCACCAGAAAATCTACCAAAGAACAGCTGTTACAGAATACTCCTTTACACTCCATGGAGATGTGTCACTGTGGTAGATTTTATAAAGAGCTGAATGGCCAATAGCTAGTTAGGAAGAGTTTAGGGGGGACTTCTGAGGATAGAGAGGTCTATGGGAATAAGAAAGCTGGAGTGTAGAGCCAGACGCAGAGAAAGCAGGACATGCAGAAGGAGAGGTAAAATCTATGATAATCCATGTGAGAGCATACAGATTAAAAGAAATGGGATAAGTGAATTTATAAGAACTACATAGGAACAGGCCTAAACTGAGGCCAAGCTTTCATGATTAATCAGTCTCTGGGTCATCATTTGGGGGCTGATGGCCCAAAAGCTTCTACTATGTATGTGGCCAACATGGCACCACAGGCTTAAGGCCTGAGCAAGCTGAAAATGTGCAGAATGGGAAGAGAAACTCGGCTCCATGGTGACCATGGTCTCTTGGGTAGGTTTGGTGACATGTAGATAGGTAGGTGATCTGCAAAATCTTACAAGGTATGGCATTGAAAATATACTAGCATGAGGCTTTTCATGACAAGTGGGACACGTCTGCTCCTGGCAGCACCAATCTACTCCAAACGAGGATGATGAGCATTGAAGATCCTTCATATGCAGTTTGCTTCTATGTGGTAAAAGCTGGCTGTTTGAACAAGAAACTGCCCTTGCCTCAACTGCTGTCCAAACTGGACAAACAGGACACAGAAAAGCAACTTCAAAACTTTGCCAAGACAAGGAAGGAGAGTCCTTCTAAAGTTCAAGCTTCACGGAAAAGTCTGTCTGATATTCGAGGCCTGTAGACCAAAGATGGATGCCCTAATGTTACAAAGGAGTCTGGGGTGACTGTCCAGTCAGCCAAAGCTCATGCCATTTTTTCATACATTTGGAAGTTTCTTGCTCTTCAATTCCTGTTTACTCAGGTAATATATCTATTTTGGGTCATTGATGGGGTTGAAAACTAGATAGTTACAGTTACAGATTCTGTTAATCATTATAGAAAGTAAATTAGGTATAAATCTTTGAACTCACCAAAAGATGAGAGGTAATGGTGTGTTTCCTCTGAATTTGCCA